AGGCCTTGCCCCTGTAGCGCAGCAAGCTCTTCTCGGGCCCGGCAGCGGCACTTTCCGAGTGCGCTCGGCTATCTCTCGATAGCACTGGGCGGCGCGGTGGCGCTGCCACGAGGCCTTCGTGGTGAAGCGGGCCATGCACCTCGGGCACTTGTTCTCCATGCAGCCGCCAGTGTTGGTGGTGTGCTGGCCAGCGCCTGGAAGTTGTGGATCAAGCTGTAGTGGCCGCTGCGCAGCAGAAGCAGCACGGTGTGCTGGACGACGCCCGTGCCGCTCGGGGCGCGCTGCTGGAGGACGTGGTAGTACTCCAGCCCGTCCGCGAAGACCTCCACCCGCCCGGCGTTGCGGAGCTCGAAGGCGTCGATGTCGTCGAAGCCCACGGGGCGGTCCGTCGGCAGGCCAGAGAAGTCCCCCCCGCGTCGGCCAGAGCGGGCTGCCAGCCCGCGGGGCGGCGTCCGCGGCGGGTCATCTTGGGGTAGAAGAAGGAGCCCGAGCAGCTTGTGGTCCTTGACCGCTGGTGCTTGTCGAGCCCTTCGAGCTGGCTCGCACCGGCTTGGCGCCAGCGGCGCCTGTCGTGTCCAATGCGGAAATGGTTGCCGTGACTCCGTCAGCTGCTGACAGTGAGCAGGTGGACAGCATGCGGGTGAATGCTGCAACACGCAGTGCTCAGAAGGGAGCACCTCAGAGCCATTGTTAGAGGGGAGGGGGGCGAGAGGAAGCGCCAATCACTTGTCAAGTGTTCAAGTGGTTTTGTACATTTGGACAAGAAAGGTGTGATGTTCAAGGGGGAGGCTTTGCGTCAGGCATTGAGGTCAACCATCAGGGGTTTTGCGCGTGTAAAAAGAAGGAACCCTGTCAAGCCTGAAGGGCTTTGTCAAGCAGCACAAGGCTGTGTCAGGCATTGAGCGCGTTTCAAGGGACGGATGTCAAGCATTGGAGCAGTAGCAGGGGCAGTTGCACATCCAAGGCAGACGCATGCGTTGTGCTTTATCGTCATTTGCTGCAAACCTCCAAGAGTAACCCTGATGTGGTGCACATGCTGCGGCCCAACGATCAGGCAGGCCCTTGTTGGCAGGCCCTTGTTGGCAGCCGTCAGTTGGGCGCCGCATTGCGCTTGGCCAGGTGGATATCCTCGACATTCACGTGCATGTTGGTGATCACTGTTTAGCGAGCGTCATCTTGTGGAATGAGGGCTTGCCGATTAGGCATTTCTTGGCGAGTGTGCGCTCCTTCAAGCCAAGTGCGCAAGCCGTGGCATGGACCACCAAGCGCTTGGGGCATTACGTGGCTCAGAAATGGATGAAGCATGAATTCAAGTTGAAGGATGGCTCTGGCACTGTGGTGCCTCCTGTGTCTGATACCAACGCCACTCTGCTATGATATTGTTGCATGTCGACTTGATCATGGTCATGTCCCATCATCATGTCGAGCTTGAACCAGGGTGTAGTCACAGTGTAGTCGCTTCCAAGGCCCTTAGTGAGGATGACATTGAGCAACTCAAGGGCGTCCCTGGTGTATATGAAGCGTACAAGGGGGCCCAGAATTTGAGCTTCAACGTCTGCGCTGTGTCTGGTTCAGACATCATCATTTCCCCTACAGCATTGGCCGAGTTTAGCGCAGCGCCCCCCAGTGTGAAAGCTGACCTGGAGGAGTTGGTTGCACACCATGGTCGCTCTTATGCTGAGATGCTCAAAGGTCGTTTGACGCCGCTCCCACATGTTGCCCCTGCAGAGCGAGGCGGAGGTCAGGTGGGCATGGACGACCCTCGGGTTGACCCAACAGATGAGACCCCTCTTCCTTCGACTGTGGCCGAGGAACTTCCTTCGATCGAGAGTGAACAGGCGTTGCGCACAAGTCACGTCATCACGGTGGATTGCAAGTCCTTTGATGAGAAAAAGGTCATTTTGCTGATTTCCAACAAGGGGGACGTATTTCTGTGCTGCAAGGACTGGGCCTGCAAGTCAGCACTGCGCAAGGTAACATGTGCTTCACCAGACTTGTGACGTCTTTATGTTTGCAGACTTGCCCTGCAGGAGAACATAGTGCTCAAAAAAGGGACACGGATTGCAGGCCCTGGTGGGGGGAAGCTGCAGCAGGCTGCCACAGAGGGCCTCCCATTTGAGCTGAAGTCAGACAAGGATCTCATGGAGGTCTCCACCAGCACAGCTGACACAGAGGACAGCAACAGCAAGCTCAAGAAGGGCACCTTTTACATGATTGCGAAGGACTTGTTGAAGGCCACAGCAGCGCAGTCACTCAGTATTACGGGGCACACAGTGAATGTCCGCTCATCGCCATCATCCCACGGGTTTGACATCACACCACAGGACCCAAAATGGTTTTTCATTTGCAAGGACAAGGAACCTACTTCGTATACATCAGGGAATGCTGTGAGGATGTGTTTGAAGCAGCATTTTCACCCAGTAGCAACTTGTTGGCAAGACATGTTGCACAAGCAGCCAATTCAATGCCTGATTGTTGTGTTACAATTTCTCACCAAGGTTGCTTGGATGTGGCGAGGAACGTTTGACGCGGTTCATGGGAAGATCACTATCAGGAAGCCGCTGCTGATTGTGAATCGTGACTTGAAGCTTGAAGCCGGCAAGCCTGTAAAGCTGACCAGGGACAGTCAGTAGGGCTCTCGCATTGTTTTCACGCCCAGGGAGCTCAGGGTGAGCGAGTGTTAGTGACAAGGGTCATTTCTGATAGTAAAGCATGCGGTTGATGGTTTCAATTTATTTTGAGTGAGTCCCTAGCTCACAGTGGCGCCAAAACCTTCAGTCGCTTGACACCGTGCCATTGCGCATGGCACTTGCTTGACAAAGGAGCGCCCAGGCTTGCCATGTGTTTCATTGCGACAGATTTGATGTTGCGCAGGTAATGCTTGTGTTTTGTGTTGCCCAGCCATTTTTGCACTTGAAGCAGTTTCCACGCTAGCTGATCGTCATGGCTGGCGAAGCTGCGTTCAATCTGATGACAGGGGCAATGAAGAAGTCGGAGCCAGACGTGGGTTTATTCTCGACCAGCGAGGATTCGCAGAAGAAGATGTCTCTGGCGCTGTCAGCGCGTGCCATGCATTGGCAATTGCGCCCAGACGATGATGATGGCCCAGCTCAGAGCGTGGATACGCAGAAGCCACCAACAGCAGCAGCAACGAAGCCGCGGCTGTTGCAACTGCAGCCCCTTGCCCGGCAAATAGTTTGTGCTCCACGAGTCAGTCATGTGGTTTGCTGACTGTGCTGTTGCCAGGACAAGCTTTCAGACACCTGACAGAGCTAACAATGATTCCAATGTTTCACCCACTGTCATGCCCAAGAACCTACTGCGCCTTAGTTGCATGTTTGTCGCTGGCACGGCGTTTAAGTTCCACTTTCGTGTTGCGGGCCAGGCTGGCTTTGGGAGATCTGGAAACACCTCCAAAGCCGCCTGGGCCTTATGCTTCAAAATCCGAATCGTGGTCAAGCAAGGTGCTGTGTGGTGACACGTCACTATGTGAAGGCATGCGCTTGCTCTGGAAGATCAGCCTCATGACAACGGCAGCAAGACTGCTGCGTTCTTTGTTGGCATTTGTTCAGCTTTAACCAAGCACAAGTGAACATGAAACCATCAGGCCCTTGGCTGTCTGCGACGGGTCAAACGAGCCAACATTGACAAAGAAGGAGCAAGCGGAAGTTCTTGGCCAGGACTGCCTTGACTTGGCATGGTTTTCCTTGTTTTCGAAGTTTGGCGTTGCAGGAAGAGCTGAGTGCCAGCGATGGCCCTGTCAAGCGCCCTGCAGAAGTGGCCAAGAAGAACGATGTAAAGCGAAAGAAGACTTTCGCTTGCAGATCATGTCCTTCTGGGGAAGCAGGCAGTGCCCGCTGGATGGCCATCAGAAATGCGTTTGACAACATGCTGCGCACAAGCCTCGCCGACCCTGTCAAGCATGAGGACTGCCTGTGATGCTTACATGGTTCATTGTTACCATTCATGTGGCGTGCCATTGCAGGACCGCTTTTGGCACTACTGCCGCGACAGGTGGGGTGCTGCCGCAAAGGCAACCTCTGATTATGAGAGTTTGGCTGTGGGGTACGCTAAAGAGTATTTTGAAAAGCATCAGAATCACTGAGGGCAAAGACTGTCCTTGGCAGTCTTTTGGGGTAGGAATGGCGCCATTCCATGGGAAGCAGATTTAAACCATTTGGCACGCTAGAACCGTTGTGTCGAAAATGCGACTGTCATGTGCACCGAGATGACAGTGAGCATGCCACATTGAAGTGGATGGCAACGGTTTATGTGTTTTTGCCTTGCATCAAGCTGTAGGCAGACCAGTTCTGATTCTTCTTGTGAGCATGTCCGCCAGTGGAACAGACACAGAGCATTCCGAACAGCCACCTGCTCGTGGGGGACGGGGTCGCGCCCGCGCGCAAAGCAGAGGACGCGGTGCCAGAGGGCAAGCACAGGCGCAGCCCAAGGGTGATGTGCGTGGCAGCAAGCGTGCGCAGTCTGAGAGTTCATCAGGCACAGGCACACCAGTGTCAGACGATGATGAGGCGGCCCGCATTGCAACAGCATGCCAAGCACTGAAGCAACAGAGCATGGCTTCAAAGAAGCCAAAGGCGGCTTCAAAGAAGCCAAAGGCTCAGCCAAAAAAAGGTCAGAAGTCTGAGGCCTCTGGTTCAGTCACTTTGCAACAGCAGGCAGTGGCACCACATCTTGGCTCAGATGAGGAGGAAGCGTCAACGGAAGACTCTACGGTGGGCATTGACAATCATCAGCCACAGCGCAGTAGCGTTCCACGAAGCAGCAGCATGTTGCAGTTTGCAAGGCATTTGGTGCAGCATGTGTTGACAGTTGATGAGCAGAGTAAACTGAAGCGCTTGACGTCAACGCAGACTCCCTTGACCATGGGTGAATTTTGTGCCGGCATGGGCACTGGCACAATTGCGGCAGCTGGCCTCAGCAGAGTTGTCCAAGAAGCACTTGGTTGCCGTTTGGACATGAGCACAGTGTTTTACACAGAAATGGTGCCCTGGAAACAGGAGGTTATTAAAAGGGTGCATGGCGCAGTGGACCCGCTTGGCCCTTCACCAGTCATCTTCAGGAAGACAGGTGATTTGGCAGCCTTGGCGAACCCCTTGCAGTGCGAGCTGGCCTGCAAGGCAATAGAATGTGATGATATCTCGGCCCTGTCGCCAACGCCAAGGAGTGTTGTGGACGAGGCAGGGCGCAGTGGATCTTCGTTTGTGGAGTTCGTAGCCTACCTGGCCCGCTTGGCGCTTGACAGTAGGCCCAAGTTCATCCTTGTGGAATGTGTGGCGAATTTAGCAAAGCTTCGAAAGGCAGTGCAGGAGCAAGGAACAGTCGTGGTCAGCGAGAAGCTGAAGAGTCTAGGCTACCAGGGCAAATGGCAAGAGTTTTGGCTGCAACAGCATTTTTTGGTTTCATGGCCTCAAAAAATGAGATGCCGTAAGTTTTCTCCTTGAAGTCAACTTCTTTTCTTTGATGTGGGGCAAATGCAGGTCCTGAACAGCAAGCACTTTGGAGTCGCGCAGAACCGCACTCGCGCTTGGGGAATCTTTGCCAAGTTGAGCTCATGCTCCGCTCAGAAGGTTGAGGACGCCTGGAAGCTGATTTCCCGTTGCCATGTCATGCCAGAGCCCCTTATTATTGTCCTGGAACGATGCAATGTGGCAAAAATGGCAGGCCAGGCTGTGCAAAAGGGTGCCAAGGGCGCCAAGTCCAGCAAATGGAAGCAAGAGCATGAGCAGTTCAGGGAGCAGAAGCAGATCGAGAAGCATGAGCTTGAAGGCCTTGCGCTGCGAGAGAAGCTCTTGACATTGAAGTTGACAGATCGGGAGGTGGACGTGAGTTTGCTGAAGTTGGCAGTGTTCAACAGGAAGAAGCCTTTGCGTCAGCAGGCCGCAGTGGTGGGCAGCGTTGGCGACTCGATACGGTTCCTCCAGTTCCACAGCTGTTTTCACCCTTGTTTGCTTCCAAAAAAGAAATACCTATACCTCATCAATGGCCATCCAACATTGAACTACTCAGCCAAGTTGCCTTTTGAACTACAAGGTATGGGAGAAGAGGAGCTTGCCATGGTGAACCTCCGGGACCACTTGTCAGTCAGTGAGGCGCAGGAGCTCTGTGGGAACGCGTTCACGGGTAACATCGTGATTGCCGCGCTGGTGGCCATTCTCCTGCAAATGGACTGAGCGTGGCTGGATTTAGTCAGACATGGCAAGGCATGCTGTTGTTTCAGAACCACTTGGTTACCAATGAGGCGTTAAAGCGGCTGTTGCGATTGAACAGTGCTGGATCCGGGCAAGCATGGCCAAGCCAGTGTGACTTGCGACTCGCGACAAAATTGCACACATGTTTGGCAAGGCAACGCATTGTAAGCTCAGCTTCTCTTGTTTGCAGGCTCAAGTGGAAGCAAGATGGTTTGTCAAAGGCAAGAAGCGTTTCCTTAAGCGATGAGTAGTTCTTCCACAGACACTCTGCACTCGCCAGCGGAGCAAGTTGTGCCACTTGCACTTGCAGGAAGTAGTGAAGTGCCGAAAACACTTGTGACAACCAGTGCAAGTGGAATTGAGAAGGCTGCGAAACCCAATAGCTGGTCAAGCTTTTGCACGCGTTTGTGCAAGAAGTTGAAGTCTGCAAGCACTGGGTGCGATTCATGTGGCTTCAAGTGCTTGTCAGTTTTGCAGCAGAACCTGGATCGCCTTCAAGCTTGGCGGGCTGAATTCAGCTCCTTGCCAAAGGAAATTGCAGACCGTGAGCTATTGTGGATCTTCCAAAGAGCTCATTCAGCAGACGCACCTCAGCCTCAGGCTCAGGGCACAAAGAGAGTGCTTCCAGAGACAAGCATTTCTACAGAGGAAACAAGCGTGTCTCCTGAGGATGCACAGGCTGAAGGCCAGGAAGTCACAACAAGCCAGAGTGAGAGCAGCAGTGACAGGCGCAAGCAAAAGACTAAAAGACTTGGTAGAGGCTCTTTGCAATACAGAGGATCAAAGTCGGCAGCAAGCAGGCCAGCTCGCCGACCAAAACGAGCAACAAAGCAGCCATCTGTGAGTTTGACAGGTGTTATTGACCATGGGTCTTCGAAGGTTTGCGTGAGGACTGCATTGTTTGCCCTGGGAATTGGCAACTCCCGTTTGCAAAGAGAACCTTGGCGGCAATGAACACAACGTTCATGTTTTTGACAAGTGCTTCATGCGTTAGACTGCTGAGCTTGACGCGTGATGCCCTCCCTTGCAATCAATCAAACCTTGATGCGATGTCAGGTACTTGATGGTCGCCCTGACGGTCGAAGCAAGGGCACGAAGCATCCAACCCACAAGAAGTTCCAGCTTGACCATTGCACTCGTTTTCTACAGCAGAGATATCATTTTGATGGGGAATCATTACCTGACAAGTTTGAGTTCGACAAGATCACTTGCAAAGGGCGCCTGCTGTGTGCTCCAGGTCCAAAACAGCGTGATCGTTTGACGAGTGAAATGTTTGACGATTCTTCAGAGGAAGGTGGTCAGCGTGACGTTGCAGCATGGAAAGAGGAAGACGCAAGAGCATTGGCGGCAATGTCATTGCACAATCTGGTGACTAGCAACCCTCACCACAGTGTCACAATGGGACCAGGAGCTGCAGCTGCACCACGCAGGTGGCTAGGAGTGATGAAGCCTGCACTTATGTTTTCTGTTTTCCGAAAATGGTGTGGGCAAAACAATTTGGCACCAGTGCCCAGTTTCACGACTTTCCGGCGATCCTTGCGCTTGGCACGCCCCTGGATAGCCTTTCGAAAGTCCAAGGGGCAACATGCTATATGTGACAGCTGCTTCTGGCACAAACAGGAACTGAAACGCAAGAGCCCAAGCTGCATTGGCATGTGGTTCATGATGTTGATTATGGGTTTACTGCGTTCACTTGACTACCCACAGTCTTGCTCAGGAAGCAGTCGATCAAGCAGAGAACAGAGGCAGGATGGTGGCGCAACGTGTTGCTGTGTGTTTCGACTTGGCCATGAACATTGATGGATTGTTTAAACCCTTGCCAGGTCTTGGAAAGCTACTCACACCACCTGCTGCAAGTTTGGCGTGATAGGCAGTGCGGTGTGAGTCCCACGCAGCCGTGCGTGCAGGAACACCTGTGACGCAGCTCAGGAACAACTTGAGTGTGTTAACAATGCGATGTGATGGGCTTGATCAAGCCAAACACAAAGTTCCTCGCTGCATGGTGGCAACTAAATCATTCGAGTCTGTGGTACGTCCAAGTTTACATGTGGCCATGTGCTGGACCCATGCTCACGCTCTGCAGTTCGCTGTTTCAGACACGGACATGCGCAAAGATTCAGCAACCAATTTTGATGTGATGGCGCGACAGTTGAACCAGATCTACCTTCATCTTGGCCGTTCTTTACCATCAAGCTTGTACTTGGTCCTTGACAATACCAGCCGGGAGAACAAAAACTCGAAGACCTTGCGCTGCTTTATCAAGCTTGTTCTTCTTCAAGTCTTTGAGCAGGTCTACTTGGCCTTTGGGATGAAAGGCCACACGCATTCTTCGATTGATGCAGTAGGCGGTCAGGCCGTCGTCAGCACAAGCACCCACACTTTTGAGGACGACATGGACTTGGTCCAAGTGTACGACAACTTTTTGCGACAGGCCAAGCTGGAGGCGGGTACATACCTACAGCAATGTTACAAGCATGACGAAAGTGCAGACTGGGGCAAGTGGATTGAGGATGTGCCTTTGACATTCAAGGCCATGACAGGCCCCCTAGCACCCCACCTATTTCGCATTTGCAGGCGCAAGCACTTCAGCCGCCAAGATTTCGAGCATGCAACAATGACAACTGCTCCAACTGCTCAGCCAGGTGTAAGAGAGCACCCAGATGACGTTATGCTTGCATTACACTCCTTCATGAGTGATGTGGCCCCTTTCCAGTTGGCATTGCTTTTTCCAGCGCAAGAAGCCATCCACTTGCAAAATCACATGGTTGTCCAACCAGTTGCCAAAGCTGCATTGCGCATTCAGTTTTTTTGCATGTGGCGTTGTGCTGGTTCCATAAGTTTTTTTTAGTTTTGTTGTGTGGCTGCTAACTTATTGCACGGTTTGGCCTGAGGTTGGCAACAACCCCAGACGCCCCATTGCCCAGAAGGAGCGCAATGTCGTCAAGAAAGAGGCTGAGTTAGGACTTGCCAGGCAATGTATTAGCCAGAAAGCTCGTGACTACTTGGTTGGCTGGATCACTGAGACACGGCGCCGACAAGCAAGACCTGCCAAGTACGAGTTTTTGGAGCATCGTTTGACAAGGGGCGATGGTGTGGCCAATCGCAATCCACATGAGGTTGGCCCTCTTAGGCCCGTCGTGGTGCTCCGAGCTGCTGGCCACATGAACGCCTTACCCCAGGAGGAGGAGGAGGAGGAAGTCAATGTGGATGACACCCGCCCGTGTGAGATTCTGGCGTGTCCAACCCGTCCACCGTGGAGAGCAGGGAGGCCAGCGCGCTTGCGTCCGCCTTGCCGAGGAGGGCGGCGTCCAGGGCTGCGCCCAAGAGGGCTGCCGCTATCTTAGAGTCCACCACCGAGGAAGTGTCGACGGTAGACTGCAGGGCGTAAGCAGTCAGCGCGCTGGCGTCTGCCTTGGAGGCCTGCAGCCCCGAGATGGAGGCGTCTCGACTTGCAAGCTCGGAGGCCAGCGCTGCGGCGGTGACGGCCCCCAGGAGAGCGTTGGCCACCTTGGTGTCCACCTCCAGCGGCGTGATCCTCGCCGCTATGTCTAGGGAGTGCTGGTCCACCGCCGTCTTGAGGCCGTAGTTGGCGGCCACCGTGGCCAGCGTGTAATTAGTGCGGGCCACCAAATAGTCGATTGCACATTGGGGCCAATCGCTTGCTTGTTAAAAGCTGGCGTTTGTGCTTTGGAAAACAATCGCTTGCAGCTGGGTCTTGTCAGCCTGACAGCTTGGCCTGTTTTCTGCCTCTCTGAGTCAAGCTTGCTGAAACTGATTGAGGTTGGTAACGCCCAGCGTTTTTGTCCATCAACTCCAAGGCGGCCCAACACTCAGTGGCACCAAGACAAGCCTCACACAATGAAAACATGGTTCTTCTTTGGCAAGCAATGGACAACAAGGCCGTAACCCTCTCAATTGCCCAGCTTCCAAGGTTCAAGGTCATCGAAGCGACCTCAGGTCAGGCGCGTGCGTAGCTGGGAGAGGCAGGCCAGCAGTGGGTTGAGTTCACGAGCATTGGTTTGAAGCCAATGTGAAGCATTCAGTCAGTCAAAGGCCGCCAGATGCTGGGTGAGAAAGTCCATGCCTGTTTACATAGTACAGCAGTTCCCGGGAACATGACTCTGATAGTCGCTTGACATAGGGCGTCAATCGCTTGATGTGGGGTGTCAGGTGCTCAACATTGTCAATCGTTTGACCTCTCTGTCTTCTCAATTTTTGTTCCAGATTTCAAGCCCTGCCAAAAGACCATTTCAGCAGAGAAACTCAATGCCTTTATATGACGGCCTAGTCGCAAACACATAGAGCGCGTCTGCAGAT